TTAACCTGAAGGATGGAAGTCCCACTATTAGAACCAGAGCTTGTGGCTTCTTGAGACTCCAAATCTTTGTCAGTCTTCCCATGATTTTCATTCTCTATCCATGCTGTGACTTCTTCGGATGATGCATGCATAGACGTCAATTGTCTAGTACAACAAACTGAAACTAATTAGAAGCAAAACGTTGCTTAATCAATGATAAAGATGAGAATGTCTTCAGTAGATTCACCTGAAGTCCAATCGACTATTATAAAATAAATATTTTGGATCAATTTTCTCTCTCTTTGTTGCTGTTCCATCCAAAAAAGGTTCACAAAGGCGAAGCATTACTGAACTAAGGTTCACAAACATGCCAGAGCTTGCACAAGAAAATGGATCAACCTACAACACGGCAAGTCGGTTACTACAAGATCAAGAAAAAACCATAGATTAAGCAATAAAATATATTTATAAAAAGAAAATATGATGGATATGCATAAGTTACCTGCATGCCAGATCTTGATGAGTTTCTCTTGATCACCTCGGCAAGATACTCTAGAACCCTTTCTCGTGTATCCACATTTTTAAGTAAGGTAAGGGAAACCTCTCCCATACCATCATACAAAATGTTCATTACTGTTTTGATTGTTGTAAAAGAAGACAACAGATCAGCGGGGCGCCGATTTGATGATTCTGAAAAGCATTGCTGTCTGTGATATCATGAAAAAAAAAAATGAAAAGAGAACAGTAGTGTCTATATATGTAAATGTGTATAAATAAACAAAACACGCTAGAGCCAAAAATGCAATATTGAGATAATAGCAACCATACAAAATATTTCTTTAAAACTCAACCTCTATTTCTACAATACATAATTATACATTTGTTATGGACGCTATTAAAAGCAAACATAATATCTGTTTATGATTTTAAGAAATAATTTTTTTATGAAAGTTATAAAGTGAACAAAAACCAACTAAGTATCTAGAGATAGTGCAAACAGAATGAAGAAAACAAATATAAAGGAATACGCCAAGCAAAATGGTACAAATAAGAACAATTTTAGGTATTCCACTCATTTGGACACTTCATTTTACAAAGATTATGCACACTTAAGTTATGTCACGAAAAGGGATCATTGAATCCCACTTTTATAAAATTATTCATTTCCAAGGAATCTAGGACAAATTATTATTACACAGTGGAGTTCTTACAGAAAAAATCACGAAGCATTCACAAGCACCACCAAGGTAAAAGACATACCTTTGTTAAAAAAATAACATCATGGTGTAAAAGTTACCAAAAATCTTTGTGAAACAAAATGTAAATGGAATTCAACGGATGAATCAGCATGCTTTCATCATCAGTTTGCAAAGAATAAATGCATGACTACTATGTAAAAGTACTGATTAGCACAAATATCCATGCAATGGAAAAATTAAAATTACTAAACAAATCAAAATAAGATTTCTTTTCCTTTGCTAGAGAGGTTAGATGTGGACCTACAAATGGCTTTCCAGTAGGTTGTCCAAATTGTTGTATCTAGTATGACCAGAATTAGGAGTGAAGAGGAAAAACATGCAATGATTGATAAGGAGATTCAGCTACATATAACTTCAAACATAAGGACCTTAACTTTAAACCTGGAAGAATTAAAAATATTTAATCTTTAACAGCAGTAATAATCTTAATTCTTAATTGTATAAAACGTTATTAAAAATAAAAAATCATTGCACACAAAGTCCTTCAACTTTACACTACGAGAATAAATGCATTTGTGAAAAACAGTCAGAAACTAACCCAACATCAGGTATGCTCTTAAACTCCTTATGATCTGGCAATGCACTAACATGAAGAAAAGCACCCAAAATACTTGCAATCTCAATCATCCTACCCTCCCCGATCAACAGGTAAGTCTCTTTCGGGATCCACCTGGGGTGATTCACCAAAGCCTTTGCGCATTTAGGAAAGCTAACCAGCAGCAGCAGCGCTCTCAATGGCTGCTGAAAGTTGCCTAATGCCGATACTTTGGCAACACTCTGCCTCAATTTCTCAAACAAATCGTTCAGAACAGGCTCCAAGCTCTCCTCATCACCATCCCTAAAGAACTCCTCGATAAAACCAGGCGGGCAACTTAATCCGCCACCTAAGCTATTGCCTGCGAACCCATCCATCGGCGTCGAAACTTCCGAGAAGATCATCGACAACAGTTCCGACGTAGCCGAAGCACCAGCCTGTCCCGTGGGCATAAACATCTCGGGATTCCCCACGTGGATCCTACAATAAGAGGCGATCAATCTCCGAGCTTGCTTGATAGCGGACTCGATCTCCGATCGGACAGAGGGGTCCTTCATCGAGGCGACCTTCTTGGATTCCTCGCATGCACGGCGGTAGCACCCGACCAGGTAGGGGAAGGGGGGGTCGACAGCGGGGAAGTCACCGGAAAGCCGATCGATAAGGACCCTCTCCATCGTATCGCGAGACAAAACGAGGGGTCTGCCCTCGCTAAGGATCTCGGCTGCCGTAAGCTCCAGGTAGACGACTTTAGGCTCGTTCTTGGCAGGTTCAGCGAAGGAGACGAGGAAGATCTTGCGGAGGATGATGTCCTCGATCTCCGCCGCGGATCGCTGGGGCTTCTTGGTCGCCATCGGAGACGACGTGGGTAAGGAGGGGCCTTCCCTTGTGCGAGGGTCAAGGTCAGAGTTCGAGGGATGATCGAGGGGGAGAATTAAGGAGCGAGCTAGGGTTTGTGTAGCGGGCAGAGACGAGAACGAGAGCGATGACGACTCCGCGAGAGGGGGGGAGAGAGATTTATAGTTACAATTACAGTACCTTTTGCTTATCTTCACTCGAAGTTATCGTCTATTCGAATTCGATATTTGTCATAATTAAAACAAACTAGTAAAGGAAAAAAAAGAAAGCGATTTCGCTTTTTCTGTCTCTGTGCTTCGTAATGCCAATACACACTCCTATCTTTCTCAAATGCCTAAAATATCTGCCTATCAAAAATATATGTTTTCCCTCAAACCCAAGTCCGTCGATCACATCGGACCGATTCCGGTATGTTAGTTATAACGTTAGTTATAATGTTTTGAAATATAATTGGGTTCAAATTTTAATGTTTTAGAGATCCCCACAATCTTGAGAATTAATTTTATCATATATATCTTAAAGTTTAATAAGATAATTTATATGGGTTTTTTGATAGTATAGAATGATAAATCCTCAATTTTTTTTTCTACTTGACCTTAGATTTAAGTACACATATTTTGAAAAAAAAATTATAATATGTATATCCATTTGATATGTAGATAATATTTAAAAAAACGAGAGATCGTCGTCTAGTTATAGTATTTTTTTAATCAAATTAAATTATTGTAAATTTACAAAAAAACACTATAATCAAACATTAATTAGATCAAAACTAATCTATGGGGAATTCAGTGTCTTTGGATGAAAAGTAAAAATATTTCGATATCATTCCAAATAAATTATGACAAAAAGAAGGTTTTTTCATCGTACAATCTTAAATTTAGGCCTATATGTTTAGTTATTTTATGGTAAAAGAATGACGATAAAGGTAAGATATGAGTCGATTATAATATCTTTAAATGGATTTATAACGATCGTGTTGATGAATCTTAATATTGTAAGCGGGTTTTAATTAGTTTTACATCATGATTATTTGCTTTATTATGTCTTTTAAGATTTTAGAAAATAATTTATATGAGTTTTAATAGGAGGTTTGATGGAAACTATGAAAGTTTTAACGTATTTAAAAAAATAATAACAAATATTTTAATCAATTTTTACTTATTCTTAGATTCATGTTTATATATTTTGAAGAAGTATTCATTTATGGTAAGGAAAGACAACAATAGAAGAGTAAGATATGATATTTTTAGTTATTGAATTAAGACATCATAATTCTATTAAAAAATACATTTTTATGAATATTTGTAAAAAGGTAATGGCTCCATAGGAATTATAAAAATAATATATAATTCAAAAAAATCCAAAAATATTTTGGTAATTAAAATATTAGAAAGCCAATAAACATTATAATTGAATTAGGAACAAAGTTAGAACATGGTTAGGAAAAACCAAAGTAAAATAATAATTTTTAATGGTTTAGGAATAGAATTTTATTTAGCATTAGAGTTTTCTTATTGGAATTAAGAATAAAGTCTAATTTGGAATAATAATATAATATTTTTTTGTTAATTGAACTGAAATTGGAATGTAGTGGGAAAGTATTTAAAATGATGTTGATTTAAAATATATGGTTTAAATTAAAAGTATTTTTTTTAACAAGGTTAGGAGTAAAATATGGTGAGGAAGGCTGATCGATACAGTGCACTTTATAATAGCTTTTAAATAATTTAAATTTAAGATTTAACTAAAAGTGAGTCCATAAGTAAAATATGATGGTGACATCCACAAAATAAAATTTCTAATTATTTTGATTATTTTTTAAGATATATTTAAATTTTATTTATTTATTGTATCATGATTTATATTTATGAGTCGATAACCGTTACCAAACATCATAAAAGTCACTCCTCGATCAAATCGATTATGATCATTATTATAATTAAATCATCAACATCTTATGATTATGATCTCATATGAAAAAAAAAATTAATTAAGTACATATAAGAGGAGATTTTTTATTATTTATTAAAAAAATTAAATTAACTTGAGTTTTGATTTTTCAATCAAAGATGGCTCTCATCAAAACATACCACTCTTAGTCGACATTGAGTTATGTGGGCGTCTGCGCTGGAAATATCATTTCTAGTCGTACATAGGCGTGGACGATGACACGCGCCTTGTCATGTTTCGCGTCATACATCACAACATCCCACGTAGACCGAATGGAAGCCGGCAACCACGATACGATCCCGTTGCCATCGGTGCACCGTCAGATTTGAAATGGATGGAGGAGATGGTGGACTCATGGTATCCCTCTGCTTAGGACATATACCCCAATCTCGTAATCATGGAACCGTCGTTGCGGGCCCCATAGGAGCTCGGAATCTCCATTCCTGATATGGGGATCAGGGCTCGAGACGGAAAAGGGACGAGGGTATGCGGCGGCTCTTCGTTCCTCCATTGCCATCCTTCTCGCGTTCGTTTCTGCTTGTTGATTCTTGCCGGGTAAGACCGTTTCCTCGATCGATCACTCGTTCTATCTATCTCTCTCTCTCTCTCACATGGCGGAAAAATCGTCTTGTGGAAAATCTCGTTTTTTTTATTGGTCGCTAAAAATGCGATGTTTATTTAGTTGGTTTGTAGAAATTTTGTATTTGACCGCAGGGTTTTGTCTATTCCGGTGGACTCTGTCCGTGCTTGATGAATTCTTTGTTATTATCGAGCAATCGGTATGTCGTTGTTTTGTCCTTCTCTTAGGAAGTTTTGGTGAATTATGTTGCATTACTGTGAGTGATGCGTTTCCCCATTTCATCGTGAATCCACAAATTTATCGGATTTTGATATGGAGTTTAGGTTTTCTCTGATCGTGCACAAATATACTAAAGGATATATGGTTTTCTGGCTTGGGTTTCCATGGAAGCTAATTCTTTGTCGTACTTTATGGTTTCCTTAGAAGAAAGGAAAAATCGTCATAATTAGCGTATTAGATCGAGCGAGAGCATCACTTATATTGCTGGAAACGATTAATTCCGATTGTACGGATCATGAAACGTTTACATATATCTAGTGGATGAAAAAACGTGCGAGTTGTCTCTATGCCGATTTGCATAGCCGTTGTTCGTTTTTTTGCATTGTCAACAATTTGTGCGCGTAGTTGATTACCCTTTCTCTTATTTTGTCGTAACTTCTGTGGGATCTGTTATTGGCTGATCATCTTTGTCGTATATATTTCTTTTTTTTTTCTTATTAAAATGTGTTGTATTCGTCATATTCAAGGAACACTATGATTCACTTCATTGTCAGTGTGTTTGGCTTGATTGCAGTAATTTTTGTTTACCATGCTATATTGCAGGGGTATGGAAGTTGATGATTCATAACTAATCTTTCATTTATATGCCGCTTTCCAATCTTAATCATCTTTTTGGAATTTTGCAATTTCTAATAAGCATATAATGTATATGTCAAACTTGATGGTGAAGGGTCTTTTAGTCAGATCTTAGTGTTGCTTTAATCTTCTCATTTCAGGTTTGCTTCGAGGGGCCTCTTACAATCCAGCTTGATTGAAGAGTAATATCTGGTGGTCATCGTGATAAATTCTGCTCGAATCTTTGTGGTTGTGAGCACGTACACCTCTTCCATATATTGTTAAGTTTTCCATTATCACATGATGTGGAAATTTGCATCGAAAGCAATTACCGGAAAATTATGCGCAAGTACCAAAAAATCAAGCTCTCAAAATCCTGATTGCTCTGATGATGAGGTTTCTTCATGCACTAGCAAGGAAGACGGTTTGGAGTGCCCGATTTGCTGGGAATCCTTTAACATTGTTGAGAATGTGCCTTATGTCTTGTGGTGTGGCCACACCCTATGCAAGAATTGTGTCCTGGGGCTTCAGTCGGCAGTAGTTAAACTTCCAACTGTCCCCATCCGGCTACCTCTGTTCATCTCATGCCCATGGTGCAACATCTTATCCTTCCGTCTGGTTTACAAGGGCAACCTCAGATTTCCTCACAAAAACTACTTCCTGCTTTGGATGGTTGAGAGATTGAATGGTGATAGTCAGAGATCTCAGTCCACAATCTGCCAGAATCTGTGGTCTTCAAGCGGCAGCCAACTCTTACAAAATCATGGTTACGATCATCACAACCAAGTATCTTCCCATGTGCTTGCAGAGCAATCAAACTCAAGCCAAACAGGTCTAGGCCACCTTGTTGGAGTTTATTTCAACACAGAGAGGATACATGCTACATTTCGGAAGTCTCTGGCATTCATTATTGAACAGACTGCTAAGATACCACTTGTAATAATCTTCCTCCTCATAGTTCTTTATGCCATTCCTGCCAGTGCTGCCATCTTGGTGCTGTATATCCTGATCACAATCCTGTTTGCTGTGCCATCCGTTTTGGTTCTGTATTTTGCATACCCTAGCTTGGATTGGCTTGTCAGGGAAATCCTCACATGATATTCTCTATTGGCCAAGGCAGCTCAAAACTGATGGCTGCCAATTGTAGAGTGAATGGATGATTAATTCTCTGAAATTCTATTACCGACTGTAATTTGTGTACAATAGTTTTCTTTTAATCTCAAATTTCTGCACTTAGCCATCATGCTCGTGGAAGATGGTGGTAGTCGCAACTAATATATGTTGGTTGGGAAGGCATTATCTTTAGATTGTTGGAGGTTTTAATATTACGTTCCACCTCAAAAAATGTAGTGTTCTTGAACGGGCAAGGTCTTTAAAGTTTAAACATTCTGGTTTTAGTGTATATCATTCGTGGTATGGCATCATGGCAAATCATATATCTTTCCATTTTACGGTTTTTCATGGTATTCTTCAATTTGTTTGTCTTTCATGCTGTTCTCATTTATTTTGGATGTTCAATTTGGTAAGCTATTCATTATTGTACAAAGAGCTTAAGTTCATACCTGGTATTCAATTTTTTTACTTGTTCGTCGGCTTGTCTGCAAATTGTGGTTTCCATCTTATGATGCTGTTTTACAATTGATGCCTGGAACCGGGCTTTTGTTTATTTTCTTTTATTGAGCAGAGTCCTCTTCCATCCTCGAGTAGAAGATATCCACAATGGCGGCAGCTACTTTAGTTTTGTTTATCTTGTTACTGCCCAAGGATTTGCACTACGAACATTCATGCCAAGATGTCATGCGATTCTCCAAAAGGTTCTAATTTAAATTCTATCTATCTGGTTGAAATAGTCTTTCCATTAGAATTTTCTGCCATGGACAGCAAGTAGAACTTGTGGGTCTGGTTTCCTGGAAGCTGGAAGCTGGAAGCTCCTGAACTGTGCCTGTGGATGTTTTTAGTACTGTACTGTGGTTTGTGCATGATGATCTGGCTAGCAGCACCTTGTTTTCTTTTAATCAATTCGTAAGTGAATTACATGAAGATTAGATTTTACAAACCTTTAATGAATCTACCTATTTTGGTGGAGTACCACACCATCTACTCAATTAAAATCTAGATTGGTACTCCACAAATTGTGGCACACCTGCCATGAACATTTGCCAGGTGCTCCACATATGTACTCAATAGAATTGTGAAGGATTGTATCAATTATCAACCCATATGATCCACTGATAATTTATTGGTTTGAATCTAAGTAAAGTCGCATCCAATCTTGCGCCGCCTAAAAACGTTATAAAATCGACTGATGACGAGCTAAGCAACATTATCTTGCTACCCACTACTCGCATTTAGTCATTTAAAACTCGAGATATCAAGATATTGAGATGACTGATGTTTTGCTTCACTTGTCGCACCCATTACAAAAACAGTTCAAAAATTTATCAAAATAGATCATTTTTAGTCATAAGTGAGTCACGAGTGGACAAACGACAAGCAAAGTGCAAAGTGATACTATCTTGCTACTCGAAAGTCGTATCCAACCTTGTACCACCTAAAAACGTTTTAAAGTAGACGGATGACGAGCAAAGTACGGAACAACATTATCTTGCTAATCATGACTCATCATCATCTAGTCTTTTGCGACCAGAGATATCAAGATACTGAGATGATTTATGTTTTGCTCCACTTATCACACTCATTGAAATCATTTGACTTTAAACTATATAATTAATAAATAATCATAAATAAAAGTTTAAAGTGAGTAAAACATAAATTACTTAATATGTCTCTCATTTGGAGCTTAAACTTTTAATAAAATTTACTATCTATTTTTATTTTTACAAGTAAAATTGTCATCTTAAATTGCTAGCCCCTTTCCATTTTTTTTCCCTCTGAATGTTAGTTAGCATAATTAGCAAATTAAAGATCTTCATTCTTACTTGCAAAAAAAAAAAAAAAAAAAGCAAATTAGACATTTGTTTGATACCTCATGTACTTCAAATAGAATTTTTGTTTAAAAGTAGGTATAAATATCACTACCATATGCGATTATATATTATTTATACATGTTTTAGTTACATTTGCAAGATAATAGTCAAAATTGGGTTCGATCCTCACTAATATCGATCTATTGATTTTTGAAAACCACATCATCTATCTCATCTTTATTCTCCGATCAATCTAATCAAGTCTGATCCAACAATCTAATTTGAAATTGTCACTTCTCCTACATGAGTAAAAGTGGCTTCTTACTTTTTTTTCCTTTAATGATCAAAGCCACTCATTCCTCACCTCCAAGATTCTCTTACTAAGTAACACCCCCTGTAGAATCCATATCTTAATTGCTTTCCTTAATGGCTAAACAAAATCCTTCGATTGCCACCTTCCTTCGAAGCCATGCTCACTTTTGCGGGTCCTTTTCTTGCGTTCATTCCTCCTTCCCTTCCCTAACCATATAATACCTGTCCTCCCTCTCTCTCTCT